AAGTCATCGCTTGGCCACCCCCTCCTCTTCTTCCCTCCATATCTCCGGTGAGCAAACAACGCACGTCATGGAAGTCGGTGGGCTGGCATACGCAACACGTGGCCCAGCCATCGGAGCCTGGTGCGTGAAATGACAGTGTTGAGCGGTTCAGTTCCTTTTCCTGTGCCGTAAACAAAGCGTCGAACACGCTTGTTACTCACGCGGTGTTCCCACCAGATGTGAGTCAATATGCGAAGGTACCGATGGTCGAACGTAACTAGCCTCTTCATGTCCGCCGTAACCACCTGATCTGGAAGCAAATTCCAGCGAGCTATAACTCGGCGCTACAAACAACGTTCTTTCCTAATCCTATCAGACCGTCGTTTATGCAGTTTCAATGGGTAACCTTGGTGATTAGGTAAGTTAGCGGGACTTAATAACCCTGACAGGTCCGCGCCGATCATACCCGTAAAAATCCGTGGTAAGTTTCCACCTGGCAAAATCGGGGAGATTGCATTTACAGGACATGACTTGGAAGGTGTGGAGCTACTCCCAGGAGAATGACTTCTTGACTTAGAGTATGCAGACAATATTGCCCTCATCTGTGACAGCTCCCAGACATGCCAAGCCGCGCTGGACAGATTAGCACTGGCGCAATGGGAATATCCCTGTACATTGCTGATTTAAACATTGAAGGCCAGCCAGTACATCTGGAGCTCGATACCGGGGCCTCGGTTACATTGATCAGTTTCCGAAATTTGCCCGACCTGGTTCTGACTCCGACTCAGGCTAAATTACGATCATACGCCGGGATAATACTTGATGTTTAGGGTGTGTGACGTGAAAGTAAATCACGGGGACAATACGTTGACTCTTCATCTAATCGTTGTTAACACAGACGGACCTAATCTATTTGGGCAGAAGTAGTACATGCCGGAAATATTACAACCTGCCAAGAAGGTGGACAGTGTTTCTGACTTACCTACACTTTTGAAAATCTTTGCCAGTGTTTTCGATACAAACATACTTGGGAACTTACATGATTCTAAAGCTTGTTTGAATATCAAGCCACAGACTCAACCGAAATTGTACAAGGCTGGGGTCTACCTTTCGCAATCCATCCGAAGGTAGAGCGATTATAAAAAAAGGAATAGTTTCACCCGTATGCCACTCTTCCTGGGTTGCACCCATCGTTCCTGTACAGAAGCCTGATGGCTCAGTTCGCATTTGCGGCGACTATAAACTGACGGTTAATCAAGCGACGATGACGGAACATTATCCGATTGCACGGAGAGATGACCTTTACGCAACTTTGTCGGGTGGACAAAAGTTCTCGAAACTTGATCTAAGCTATGCTTATTCTCAAGTAGAGATACAGGAAATCTCAAAGGAAATTACCATCTTTAATACAAACACGGGATTATTCTGCTATAACCGATTACCATTCCAGATACACGCCGCGCCGGCGCTCTTTCAGAGAATTATAGACAACTTAGCGAAAGGCATAGCCGGAGTTTGCGCTTACTTGGAAGACATTTTGGTTACTGTTCGTACCGACTACGAACATATGACAGCAATTGTAACAGTCTTGAAACGCCTTCAGGAGAGCGGACTGAAACTCAAGGAATCTAAATGTGTCTTCTTTTGTGATACAGTTGAGTATCTGGGATTTCGTTTGGACAAACACGGGTTACATCCCCTACGGGGAAAAATGCAACCCATTCTGGATTCTCTAACACCCCGAAATATTAACGAACTGCAATCATTTCTTGGGATGGTAACCCATTACAGTCGTTTCTTACCCAATTTGGCTAGTCTTCTCGCACCATTGTATACTTTACTTCGTAAGAATACCAGGTGGCTGTGGTCCAATGAACAACAAAAAGCTTACGATGCTGTCAGATTAGCTATTAGTAACGCTAACTTGTTAGTGCATTTTGACCCAAAAAAGCCGATCACTTCGTTGCGATGCGTAACCCACAGGGCTCGGGGCCGTACTGTCACACCAAATGGAAGACATGACCGAGCGACCAACAGCTTTAGCGTCCAGAAGTTTGACACCAGCGGAAAAGTACTATGCGCAGATCGACAGGGAAGCTTTAGCGGTCATTTGTGGAGGTAAGAAATTCCACCAGTATCTGTGGGGAAGAAAATGCGAAATTTTTACTGACCACAAGCCTCTGTTAACTCTGATTGGTGAGAAAAAAGGCATAAACCAGTTGGCATTGCCTCGTATGCAACGCTGGGCTTTATTGCCCTCGGGATTTTGAGCAGTTCTCCGAGCTGAGTGATTATTATGCAGACGTTTCGTTGTCTGACCAGGCAACATCATCAGTGCGGCTTCAAGGGCCTGGTTCGCAGTGCCACGTAAGCGACTTCAATGTCCAAGTGTTTATTAATCGAGTTCTGCTTTGAATGCCAGGCTTCAATGAATTCACGTGCTTGCTGGCATTTAGCCTTTCCGAGGATACTGGCGTGCTCTAGGTCGAATTGATGGTTCTCGGCATCTATATGCACTGATATCGGAGTTCTGATCGTGAAGACGAACGCATAGGCTGTGTTCGTGTAGCCTTGCTCTCCGCTTACAATCACAAGATTACCTGTCCCTGGGGAAGCAAATAGAATCGCGGACGCTCTGAGCTGTTTACCGTTGAATCACCTAACAGATTGTGTATGTAAACCTGTGGAGTTTGTCCATCTGCTGCAACATTTGGGAGAAAATCCGGTGTCAAATGCAGACATCCCTCAGGGAGCTGAACGAGATACATTGCTGTCCAAAGTCAAGCGACTAGTCTCTCAGGGTTGGCATGACAGCTGTGAACCGCAACTACTGCCCTACTTTATCCGACACACAGAGCTCAGTCTCGAGGATGGGTGCTTGCTATGGGGATCTAGGGCGATCATCCCATCACGTTGGCGACAGAATGTTCTACAAGAACTTCATGAAACGCACCCAGGAATCACGAGAATGAAGGCACTTGCGCGATCCTGTGTGGTGACCTAATATTGACAGGGATATCGAAGAGTTGGTCAGACACTTTGACGTATGCCAAAGCACTCAGAGGAATGCCCCTCCTAGGTGTGGTGGCCTAATAATGTCTGAGATATCGGATAGTTCATCCGACACTGCAACGCGTGTCAAAGAACTCAGAGGAACTCCTCTCTGGTACAACTTAGTCCTTGGAAATGGCCCAGAAAACCGTGGGAACGCATACACGCAGACATTTTGGCCCATTGGACGGAAAAATGTTTACTCGAAATGGATAGAAGTTTTTCCACTTGCATATGCCACCTTTGAGACGACCGTTTCTTGCATGCGGACGTGTTTCAGTTCCTTCGGTATACCACATACGCTGGTAACAGACAATGGTTTCATATTCACTAGTCAAGCATTTTAAGAGTTCCTCAAAAGCAACGGCATACATCATGTGAAATCAGCCCCCTACCGCCCAGCTTCAAACGGTTTGGCTGAAAGAACGACTTACGGAAACGAGCCTCTGCTCCACTGCGAACAAATTTCCTTTCGTCTACCCCACCACGGCAAACGAAACTACTGGGAAGAGCCCAGGAGAGTTAATGTTAAGACGGAGGTTGAGGACAAGGCTGGATCTTCTGTTTCCTGACCAGAGGCTAAGCAAGATAAATCTAAGGCAGAGTACAACCAGAAGACTTCCGATCGAAGATTTTGCGAGAATTAACCGGTCTACGCCAAGTTGCTCAACGAAAGGACTTGGCAACATGGAGAGTTGCGGGACAACATATGGAGGTGGCTTTGCATGATGGCAGTTACTCGGCGCAAGGATCATGTCCGTCATCGTTCCGTTTCAACTCCACCAGATGACGCATCCTCGAACCAGCAAACTGAGTTGACAAACGTGCAGAACTCGCAAAACTGGCCGACCGGAGGCTCAGCAACGTCGCCGTTCAACTCGGCTACGCCGACCGATACCAAGGTAGCTGGAGTGATCCAAACTAAACGGAGAAGGAGTATGGCATCCTCACAACCAATGTACTAAGCCCTTTCTATCCGTTGCCTGCATCCGCTGGCGTGTGTCAGTAACCCATTCACCCATTTATTGATTGGCCTAGTTTAGAATAGTGGATCAATGAGTTGTACAACATGCCGGTTAGGATACAGTTTTGCCTTCCATGTGCTTGACGTGTTTTGTTTTGTGATACTTCGTCTAAGAGCCAGTCATTTGTGTTAATTCTGCAATGGTTAAACTGTGACAAGGGGTACAATAGCTGAGGTGTTCTCCACCTGCAGCTAACGTGTATAATTATCACAGGTGGCAAATATACGAGGATTCGGTCATCAATCTGTCGCGAAAAAGAGTAATAACAAAATCGTTAGTGGTATGGTGCTGTCATCAAGGATGCAGTAGTTGGAAGAGAAGATCGAAAGAAATGAGAAGCCACTGAAATCTGTTCATGTTCGGTGAACACACAGCAAAGGAAGCAACCGAAGAAACGTGGAGCACGTATTATGTTATGCATTAGCCAAAATCGAACAAAATATACCAGAAATCGTTGGAACTATGCAGTATTAACCGTCTCATTAACAAACATCAACTCAAATTAATTAAAATTGGCTCAAAATAGATGTTTTCATTAGATGAATAATACAAATAGTATTGATTTATTTTACACAATTTAAAGTAAAAAATGAAATAGTTAATTAACTTTTTAAACTATATTTTTCGGTGTAATTTTTTTAAGTAGTAAACGCGCTTTGTGGGTAACACCCACAAATAGCTTGAGAACTACTGTCATAGACGGTGGACTCACTGTTTAAATCTACATGGCATTGATTATGACATGGGGCAGTGAAATACCTATGAAATCAGTGTCGTCGATGTCGTCCAGTCCTGGCACCATAGCCAAGTGCTTTCTGCGGTAAACACTGCCGATGACTTGTTCCTAGCTGTTTGCTTAAGGCAGCTGGGTTCTAAATCAGGTATCATTCCTGCCCCCACCCATTCGGAATTGTTATGCTTGTGTGCGTGTGTGACAGTGCTTTAGTGAGATATAAAGGAAGTACGGAACCCGGGTGGTGCACATACAGAAAAAAAACATTTTTACAAACAGGAAAGCATGAAGGCCAGATTGTGAATAAAGTCTCGACAAAATCAATATCTTTGGGATATGCACAAGTGGGGGCAGATAAACAAGAAGGAAGGAATGCAGTCCAGTAAGGATAAAAATGGGGCGTGTGTGATGGAAAGCACAACTGAGAAAATGTTTCCACCTTCCAAGTGATCTCAAGTTAGTGATAAAGTAAGGTGCGGAAAAAGTTGCAGGGGTCACGCACAGATCAGCAGCACCGCCGACGAGTGGACTGTGACGGAGCGCCAATGGGGCGGTTGTAAGCACCGTATTGATCTGGGGTCAAAGGTTGAGGTCCGAGTTTGATACCGGCAGCCTAGAAAGTGAAGGAGATGGGGCATTATTGTAACAGGAAAACAGGGCCATCATCGGTTGCTTTGACAACACAAAACCTTGAATAGGTGGAGTTGCACAGACATATGGGCAGTTAGCATTTGGCTACATTTCAAGGCGAATAAGAAAGGCAAGATATGGGATTTTGCAAAGGTTAATAAAGCACAGAGGCTCAAAAAGTGACCCAAATGATCCGCCACTACAAGCGCAAAAAGACATAAAGTGGGCATGTTGCTGTTTCACGTAGACTGTAATGGGCAAATCTACAGGCAAGCCATACGTGGGACGGCCGAAAATCGTCCGCGAGTGGGTATCTTCGGCCAGTATCACCTTCATGTAAAAGCCGCAACGTAGTGGTAACAGCGGATTTGTTTTTTGTTCTGTGTGGGGACGAGAGCAAACAGCTGTTGTTTGCTTGAAGCAAAATCAATGGACGGCCGAGACCTGTCTGCTATTATGGTATTAGTAGATATGAGGTCAACGCGACGCAAGGACGATAGATAGCGATTGAGACTCAGAGGATGGAACCAGTCCCATGCACGGTACCTGAGGTAACTGATGTTACAAAGTGTTCCACAGTCGGGATCAGTGACAGGACAAATGAACATAGCCATTCGGGGTGAGAAAGTGTTAGGCCACAAACCACATCCCGAGCGCAAGCGGTTCGTTGACTCTACAACAGCGTCCAAACAAATGGATAAAGAAGTGGCATATACACATAATAAGGTTTTTAGATTGCAGTTTACGGGTTCGTTAACTGAGCTCGAAAAAAACGCGTTGTTCTTCGAACTGTGGCAAAAATAACATAAATAGAGGCAGGAGCGTGGTGTGAGCTGGCAGATCGGTGAACGAAACCAGCCCATGTTAGCTGACTAGAACTGCACAGATCAGATGGACAACGCAGGATGGACGCATCTCGGAATGAAGCGAACTCAAAGTGGACTCATACATGCGATGGAACGAGTGTGATGCATAAACAGCGCATATGAACCGACGACCATAGGCAAACGGAATGGGACGCAACAACGAGAAGTAGTCTGCGTAAGGCGGTCATGTTGGATTAGTGGTTCAAAGTCCGCATAGATGGTGTTGTGGTTCAATAGAAAAATAACCGGTTTTGTCGTTTCCCAGACTTAGCTTTGATACTCGAAAGGCTACACTACAGAAAAAGAATATCATGACAAGGAAGAGCAGAGATGAAATTAAGCAGAATGTGAACAAAATAACTAGCAAACGGATCGACAGGTGTCACGCATACAAGGCAGGCTCAGGTGGCCGGCACCGTTGAAAAATGGAGAGCTGATGTCTCCGACCACATATTGCCGTCCAATGGATGTGGGGACTACAGGGGATTGCCACCATAGTGTTACCAAATACTGATAGACGTTTACTCCGAACTACCACCCGCATTCCAATTTGTCCACTAGTGGGACAGATCATTTTAACCCAGTGAGTCCACCATTATGAGCAGTAAAGTGCATTCAATTCCGCTGCGATGATTGACTTAATCATAACGCTAGAATCAGGACACGAAAAGCCACCAGCTGAAAGTAGGAGATGGGGTGCGAAGGCACCGGTGAACAATGGAAAGGGCAGCATGAAGGATTTGAAGGGGTAGCAGGTGTTTTGACCTATTTCCCGGTTACGATATGCCGCTTGGTCAGGCAAATATATCCCGATGATAAGGCAGAAGGTTAACCAAATGTCTGATAAATAACCGATTACGTCTACCTGTGGCATGCTTCGGGGAGCACTACAAAGCCCCACACAGTCCCAATTGGGACAAGTTCGTGGTAAAAATCAGTAAAAACATAGCTAGAAACAGAAAATGACGGTCCTGAAAAGTAGTAGGACGCATGACTGCAGGGCACCTAGCTGTAACTGTAGGCTCATGCGCAGCTTAGAACAAGGACTAACAATGGCGGCAAATCAGTAGCTCAGCCAGCCAGTCAATCAGCCAATAATAATATATGGCAAACTGAATATTACAGATCCAGCTAAATTTGTGGTAAAATAATGGATGTCCAAAGGAAATCAAGCATACCGAGGACAGTCGTATCGTAGGTTTCTGACAACGGTGCGTTTGTTAGGTCAGACCGAAACGGTGTAAGGTTCGCTTGCTCGTCCTACGATGGTGAAGAGACTAGTCCTAAGAAACCATTCGGAATAGGCCTAATGAAATTCAGCGTGGTCTACGCTGAACACATATTGGGCAACAGCTTTTCCAATCAACAGTGATTTCGGCTGATCACGCGTCATAATCTGATCGTGTGCTTTTTCACCAGGAGGACACTGACTGGGTCATACGAGAGTCAAACGTGCGGTAGATGAGTAATGGCTATCCAACAGCTTAGTAATCCAATGTCTTTAGGGTAAACACAAAGTCAAGGCATAAGCAGTACGCCGTACTCAGGGTACGGACACTTTGCTGCCGCGCAAACACCATCAGTCGCAGGTGGGCTAAGGATACTGCGGTGCCCGCCCTGTCCCTAGGCATTATCGAACCCGCGCCGTCAGATTACAGAGCGAGCTTGCTGGCTTTTTAGGCTACGAGCCGGGGGGGTGAGCAGAAGTAGACAAACAGCAGAACAACAGAGGACGCACATACTGCTAATGAAAAACAAGTTCGAAGGCAGAGTGCTATTAAGAGACGCGACACTAGGGTTATATGCGTTGGACTCAGGGCATCAGACCGCTTTGGCATTGTCGAGATTATTAAGAATGGTTTGCGAGCGACGCCCCGGAGATTAATAGTCGAAGTGGCAGAAGTCTCCAAAGCCAAGTGTTACTTTACTATAATGAGTAATGAGCAACCCAAATTCAGTCAAAATGGAAGGCGCGTTGATGCGGGAACCTGCCTGCATAGCGAAGTTCGACACCATCCCCACAGAGGACTTATCGCTAACGCGTTGTACGCGGAAACATTCCCGACATGACTGAATCGCATGAAATGACAACTCAGGTCTCTGCCATCACAAGTGCGACCCTGGTCGGCCGGAAAATGCACTGATGCACATGGCGAGATGATGCCGTTGTGTCAAAAGCCCAGTGTGGCATAACAGATCCACCAGTCGAGCACCTCCAAACTTACCTAAAATCACAATATTCCTAATGATTCCAAGCGTCACAAAATAGAAAAAAATTGTTTTTGAACGCCGTTTACATTTTCGTCAATGTCGGAGATCATACTAAATGCACAGGCGAGTTTGTATACTGATTATTCGAGGAATCATTGTTCCTATGCATTCTCAGCTATCGCCGTTTTTCATCCTTTGAGCGCCCAGACACACCGAAACGACGGTGATCAGACGGAAAGTTAGAGAATTTACATTATATCATTGAACCGTACTTCCAGTGCAGTTCTATCCGAGCAAACAAAGCACGATGTGGTGGCAAACGCTGCACGATATGGAAAGGTTCCCCAGATAGCAAAGTTGGCACACGGTGATAGGCTTACAGAAGAAGAGACCCCATTTCCCGGAGTGCCTAAGTTCATTGTTGCAAACTCGGTGGTGTCACCACACATGAGCTATTCCATGGAAACGTCCATCATTGAAGACCGCAAATCGAGATATGTGAACCAACTAGCACTCGCTTTCATACCACAATGTGTGAATAGTGGCTTCGTGAAGTCTGCGCTTTACTAAGAAGTATATCCCAACGACACTGCATACGCCTCGGCATGATATGGGCCGACCGGTCTTTGGCGATACACGGATTGACACATAATCACTAGAATAACTGATAGATACGGCTCTCAAGAGAAAAATTCTGCCTGCCTGTTTACATCGTGTTTTTAGGAGTGAAATGTTTTAATCACCAAAAGGTTCAAGATGAGTTTTATATACCTCGGGACCCGTCACTGAGCGAAGTGATAGTATCAACATAAGCCAGTTGAGTGGCACGACTACCTGATGGAAGAGGCTCTAAGCTAACATTCTGGAAACCTTTAAGATCTCTCATCAAGACAGCCTCGATCAGGAAGTTGAAGAGGAAAGGGAGTGTGTGCTACTCCTGTCGCACACAGACAGCGTCAACGAAGGTTGAGGACAGGTTGCGCAAACCCTCAGCTAGCCTGTTGGATGGATGGATAGCGACAGGATGACGGCGGTATGCCCTTTACCGAATCGGTTCGCTGGCAAGAAACGTCACAAAATGACTGAATCAGATCATCAACATCCTGACACGTTAGCGAAAGGTGATGAACACCTCAACTATAGTGACAGAATACAAAAAAAGTTATGTGAAGTAGCGCGATACTTATAATTACAGAATACAAAATAGAAATAAAAACCTAGGAATATTATAATACGTATTGGGAATGGGATCGTAGATGGAGAGCGAAAACGCAAAACACAAACGTCATGGAGGTCGGCTCCTCGGCATATCAACCAGTGTATCTAACTAAACGTGTACATTGTCCGTCGGACCCCAGTCAGGAGACACCAACTTCATTCCACATGACCAAGTTATCGCTTGGTCTCCCCTCCTCTGATTCCATCCAGACCCCGGTCGTGCAAACAACGCACGTCACGGGAGTTAGTGCGATGGCATGCGCAACATGTGGCCCAGCCATCGGAGGCGGGTGGGTGAAATAACGGTGCTGAGTGGTTCACTTGCTATTCTTGCAACAAGTACGACACGTCGAACACGCTCATTGCTGCGAAGGCAGTGTTGGTCGAATATAGCTAGTCCAGTTATATCAGTCGATCTAATGGGCAATGGTTTCCCAACTGTACAGAAGGGTTGAGAGGACGGATGCATTGTAAACTCTGCCCTTCGGGGGCGACAGTGATGTCGCGTCGATGCTACATGTGGCAGAGGTTGGCAAAAACGCATCAAGTCTTCACGGTACGGTTCGTGACTACCTCTTCTATTCCACAGGTGCTAATATAGCTGCCTAGATACTTGAAGGCCTGGACGACATCTAGCTGATCATCAGCAAGGGCTACCGCAGGGGCGGATTTTGTCAATTTTGGAGGA